TTAGCCAACAGAGGCAGGCGATACACAAATTTAATGACAGACTCCTCACATTTTAAGCTGAAAGGGTTGTGTCGGGGTGATGTGGAGTCTATACATACCGTCAATACTCACAAAGTACTGACAGTGTCGTTTTTATTTCTGTGACATGTTGCACATTACAGCGAACCAATCATACGTTTACCAATATCATGTTACTAATACACAATACGGAACTAATAAATAATCAGCATTGTAAATATCAGTCACAGTTGCAATGTAACATTGGATACGCGGCTTATTTTAGTCACCTCAAAGAGGTTCAGCAACTCAATGACGGTCTCATTTTCCATATCTCATGCTGAACTTCTTCTGTCCAGCAACTATGTCTATGATGGACACAAATAGCACATTTTATAGCATTTCGGATAGCATAGCCTCTCGTAGAATATATACTGCGTGGTGTCGGAGGGGCTGCGCTTGAGTGTACTCGAAAACTTATTGATGAATTGCAGGATCGTGGCCGAACAAATATATACGTCTACACTTACCAATTTGAAGATGATCGACCATGCGGAGTTTTCCCAGCTCAGAAGACTATCAGCCAGCCGCTCTTGAAGGTTGACAACTCCCATTAAACTAGTAGAAGCAGCACACAACGGGTTGTTCAAGAATTCAAGTAGGCAGGTTATTTGTCCTGTTGTTACCGTGATGCTCTTAATGTTTTTAAGATTAATTGATGGATAGTGTTATGCCTACGTGTGCCGATAATCTGCTTCGTCTCCATGATTTTCCTTATTAATAAATCCTTGACCGCAATGCAAGAGCTCAGAGACCTAAATCTAGAAATTATCACGCAGACGCTAGACGGTGAAGGAAGCTTAATTTCATGAGGTCTCTTAGGGGTGATTATGCGGCCAGAATGGACAAGCAAGTCTATATTCATCAAGGCAACTTCCGCTGAGGAGTCTCTCGATGGATACTCTTTCTCAAGTTAGGTCGCAAGTAGTATAGAATATTCCATTTTTGGATTGCAAACTTCCAATTCCCACACTAGCCCTGCAACATTTATATGCAAAATGATATCATGACACCCACTTAACTGAAATGCCGGCTTCCATGCTCAGCCTTTGTCTTTCAGCCAAACGTCTGGCTCGGAATTGTGAACCGTTCGGAAATAAACGACGATGTGTAAGCGTTGCTGTGGAAGGATACGGCGTATTCAAGACAGACTCCCTACATACTTGGCTAGTCTGGGCGCGGTTGTTCGCTAATTGTAATGTGCACACAACCGCGTGCTTTGCGTCCTGGCTTACATGATGATATTGGTAACTATGATGATTTACTGCCCAATTAGGCAGTTACAGGTACAGCGCCAACACTTTTGTTGTAAGACGAAATCCCCTCGACGGCTGTTCCCGTTTAAGCCAGGAACCTCGCCTGGATGTCTCAGCTAGCTCAGCCATACAGATGACACACCATGACGTTATGGTAACTTCTCGTAGGAAGTAATATGCAGTCATATGCGGATCCCTACCCCTGAACACCATTAGGCATTAGTGTAAAGTCCCGGCCCCAGAATATGTCTTGGCCATCGCGTTTCCTAAAAGGTAATAGATCCAGCACATGGTATTAGAAGGCTAGCCAATAGAATTAAGTTCTTTAATTACACTGCAACTGTTTCAATGGGAACGTCCATACGTATTTTGACTCCATAGGCTGCCAAAAGAGTGCGTGCCGTATGAATTCACTCTTTTGGAATCTAAAGCCTTGAATAATCTCGGCTCGATATCACATTGCGTTAAACAAGACCAACGAAGGCTCACGCCCGAATTGGCAATTACAACTTGTTTTCAATACGTTATTTTCATATCACGTCAGATTAGAGTTAGACGCCAAGGAAAACATCACCATATACGGCGTAACCCTTCAAGTTGCGCCAAAGGTAACAGATGAGTATATATGGTAACATATCCCCGTACATGTTAATCACTCTTGCCTTTCTACATAGTAGCCTACAAAGCTTTTTTACTCTCAGTTTTAACTCTTCCCTCCTTCCGGTCTTTGTTCGATATCATAGACAGCTTAAAGACACCTTGAGTCTATTGCGGGCTTCAATTCTCTGGCTTGAGACGTCATGGCGCCTCTTCGGCTCCCTTCTACTATTCAGGCCGTTACTCTGGCCTTGGCGGCCACTGTACACGGGAAAACTATACACCAAGCACGAATTGAAGAGCGAGAATACCCAACAACTGGTATACAATGGCAGCCGTGCACAGCTGATATTACTGCCGTAGCGGCTTTGCCCGTCGAGTGTGGCACCCTTAACGTGCCACTTGATTACACAGCTGTTGATAGTACCGAAACACTCGAGTTGTCACTCCTCAGGGTCCCTGCCATCAGGAAGCCATCAAATCATAGCATTCTGTTTAATTTTGGCGGCCCTGGGCTGGAAGTTCGTCGCTCATTAGCCCAGCTTGCTGATATGTTACAAGTGTGGTGCGTATAAAAACCTCCTAGTCCTATATTCAACTTAGTTTCGTTTAGTCTAGCGAGTTATAGCGCTTGGGCTTGAGGATCTCAGCTAACATGTTTTAATGTGCACAGAGACCTCCCATCCGACTCATCTTGTTATTCTTACCTGTGATACTTTTGCGAGTGAACATGGAAAGAGAGGGTAGCCCAGGGAATATATGCAACGTGATATGGCTGACACGAATCTATGCAGTGTTACTGGGGGCGAGCATGATCTGATCGGGTGGGACCCCCGTGGGACAGCCAATACATTCACATTCTCTTGCTTCGCCAATGCAACTGGTCGGGCTCAAATTGGGTCTCAGTCCACAATTGGTAATGCCTCAGACGTTGCCCGTGGTCAGCTCTGGGCAGCAGGGAAAAATTATGCGGATGCCTGTGCAGAGTACCCTGAAGCCCAGGAGAGGGCGCCTTTAATAGGAACGTCTTTTACGGCTCGCGATGCTATGCAAATTGTCGATGCCGTAGAAGAAGATGGGCTACTAAGATACTGGGGTGAGAATCCCTTGTTTTGGTCGGCAAGAGAAGGCAGGACTCGACAACTGACATGTTGGTAAATTTTAGGTCTTTCATACGGTACTGATCTCGGAGCTACTCTGGCGGCTTTATTCCCAGAACGCGCCGAGAAACTCATACTCGGTAAGAATGGAATTTTCTCGCCTGGGCTACGTACAGATCGAAGGAACTAATAACTCGTTCCAGACGGTGTATTCAACCCGATTCAGTACTTCTATGAGAGGTAAGCTCGTTTACTCGGGGAGTCCTGTTCATTGTATCGTGAGATATTTTTATTGACACCGCTCTAGGACCGACAAGGAGGGCTATGCGTCTGCTGACGACACTTTCTCTGAGTTCTTTCGCCAGTGTCTAGCGACACCTAAAGTCTGTAACCTCGCGGCTAACCATCCCAATGCCACAGCAAAACAGCTCGAGTTGGCAACGTACGATCTCATAGAAGAGCTTAAATTTCGCCCCTTCGCCTACAACGGCTCTATCATTGGATACTCGGAACTGAAGAGCGCCATTCGATTCGCACTATACACACCTTATACCTGGTTAACTCTTGATGGCATCTTGGACGCTTTGCTTGCAAGCCCACGAAACGAGACGCTTGCAGGAGCCAGAATTATAAGTTATTTATCTGCATCTTTGGCTGGGGAAACAACTGCCGACGATGCTGGCCTTGGCATCGAGTGTGTCGACAAGGCACCACGTTCAGACTCGTTTGATGTGATCAGTGCTGCGCTCGACGAATCCCAGTCAGTCAGTCGCCTGCTAGGAGATACATTAGCTGCATTGGTTGTGACATGCGCACAATGGAAGCTGGAGCCAAGGGAACGATACATCGGCGGATTCGCTCGGGTCAAGCCCCGAAAGCCTCTTTTCGTCATCGGAAATACCTATGACTCGGCCACATCGATCAAATCAGCAAGGAACATTACCGAGACGATCCAGGGTAGTGTCCTGCTCGAGCATGGTGGTTTTGGCGTACGTAACCCGCTTTAAGAAATGCCCCTTCCCATATTCTCATCTATTTCTGCCTGTTCCTAAGCCGCTGATGAGCTAACTTGCTTCGGAATAGCACACTAGCATTCAACAACCTTCTCTTTGCACGGCTAGGGCAATCCAGAACTTCTTCCGTAATGGTACTCTACCGGAGCCTAACACCTTGTGCGACTCCGTCAACACACCTTTCGAGTTTGCCAAATTTGGTCCAACGTGGCAAGATCTATTCCCGCAACTGGGCTTCGAATCACTCAATAGCACCAAGATCGCCCACATGAAGCGGAACGGCCATACTGAGAATGTTCTTAAGTATATCAGCAGACGTCAGAACAACGCTTTTCATTAACAGAAATAACCCAAGGGGACTGGGGGTATTATTAGGCAAGGGTCCAAGACCAGAATGTACTATTAGCTATGTAAATAGGGTGTTCTATTCCCACTCCGTGCAATAAATATCAATACTAGAACTACGAGCAGTGAGGACCGTGTCAAATAAACAGGACTCATAGTAGCAAGCACTATCTGGCAGCAACACCTATTCGTGATGTAATCGGTCATAATCCTTAGAACAAAGGGCATATATATATCTAGAGACTAACCTAGGAAGGTAATTTCAAGACCTTCACTCAATAGAGTCCAACATTGACAATAATCAACAAGGTTTTCGGTAAGTTTTATTGGTTATTATGCATTTAATTATAGAGTTTGAAACAAAGAACTCTTGTACAGGGGTTTTAAGAGAGTCTCTTGATATTATACTAATAAATGACCTTGCTCCTGATACTATTCAGAACCTAGAACACTATTGCATCTAGCACATGCTTCCTAGTAGACTCTATTTTTTATCCCCCATGATTTAAACCAATAACACCGGTCAGCTGGCTCGTGGGTTACCTTTTCTAAACCTCAGCACCTTGGCTGAGTTCTTGTCAAGCCGGGTTCTAGCGGGGGTTTAGGGGAGCGCGATATCCATCCAATCTGGTGCCCTGGTAGCTCAATTGGTTAGAGCGTCGGACTTTTACAGCATACCTACATATGATGGAGTCATCCGAAGGCTGCGGGTTCGACCCCCGCCTGGGGCGTTATTCAGTTGTGAATGATGCGTTACTACATACACGGATGGTACAATGGTCTTTTTACAAGTTAGGGTCGATCAACATTCCATCTGTCAACCTATCAACAAGTATAATTTTGCCCCCTCCTCGAATTGCAGGTCTAAAAATTTTGATCCAGTTTGGTTCATTATCGATTAGGTCCCAATCTTCAACATCTTGTGCGGTGACACCATCGTATGCCACATTGAAACTGTAACTCTGGAGTCCAGCAAGCATCAGTATATTTAACTGCAGATGGCGACCCATCTCCTGTGCCCTATCTATGAGCTGGAACTTACTAAGGCATCTTCTCTTCGTATTGAGGTCGTGACTATAAATTCGTAGATCCAAGAAGACACTTTCTAGCTTCGTCATCTTGGACCAGGATAGCCATAAGTGAGCCGACCTCTCAAGATCTAGTGCGTTGTTCATGGCTTCGATTTTCTCATGGCCAACATGTTCTGCCAATCGTAAGTTTTCCGCAGTCACTTGCATTAGATGCAGGGGAGAATGGACTGCGATATGTCGAATGTATTGGTGAATCGGTATTTGGGCTAGGGCCGATCTTATCTTGACAACATCGATGGGCTCGTCATCAAATGGTAGGATAGCCCTTAATCTATAGTTGCGAAAAGGTTGAACGTTTCCACAATCGCTTCCCAGCGCCTTCTCGATCATCCCGCTAGGAAGGTCACTGGTGCCGAGAGTGAAAGTATGGGTATGGCCACGCCAGAATTGCCTTGTGTACTCCGAGGAAAATTTCACATCAAGCGCGAATGCTTCTAGGTCAAAAACTATATCAGGAGTAAGTATATGATCCTTGTCCTCATGGCTAAATTGACATGAAAGGGTACCAACTTGAAAATTCATACTCCGTACATACGTTATAATTCGAGTGATTCTCAGTGATTTCTCGATATGGGGCGTTCCTCTTTCGCAGATGTTCCAATCCGGGACCGCGAGGTTGATAGCACACTTAGGCGGCGCCACCAAGGTCTGCGAGATGATCATTGCCATGATCTCGAAGGGGAGGAAAGTCGTTCTCTCCTTTTGATCATCAGGGCTGCTCACATCCATGGGCATCAGCTGAGTATCCTGAGGTCCATCTAGATCAATATTCGTAATGAAGTTGTTCGGCCTGCGAAAATAGAAATCAGCTGCATGATCGCTCTCCGGGGATTGGAACATACTTATCTCCGGAGCTGCGTGTCTCCGAAAGACGGCGTTGCAGTCTGCTGGAGTGTGAATTTGGTCGCCTTCGGACTGCCCCGGTTCTAGGCTCGAAGGCGGAGATTGTGGGCTGTGTACCGATCTGATGTCTTCTGAGCCCTCTTCGTAAGAAATGCAGGACACTCCATGCATAGGCCAGTTCAGCGCGAAGTCGAACGCATCAGTGGGTTGTGTACCATCAAACTCAAGCTTTGGGGGCCGGTGACAGTGGCCACCGAGCTGTTGGCACTTCTGTTCGAGCATTAGGGTCAAATTATTCCGTAAATTTCCAGTATCGCAACACAATAGAACGTTCGTTTTGTATTAGAGTAGGGACACGCAGCAATGAGTTTGACTCATATATCTTGCTGTAAAAATTGTCAGGAACCAATCAACCACAGGCGGGGCCCTAAGCCTTCTTACATGTGAAGTGCAAAGTAGATAGAGAAAGAAGATGAATTGAAACAGTTGTGTCGAATAAATGTGCTGTATCATGGTGCCAAACAAAGGGCCTTGTTCCCATGGCTTGGCACATTCAACCCATTTTTCTACTAGGACCCCTCTCACTTTTTGTTGGCTCACATAGATGAAGGGGAAGCTAGGGGTAGATCTACAAAGAATCTATACCACCATGATGACCAACATACGAACAACAATCACATCTTCTCATCAGGGCTAACCCGCTTAGCCTTTGTGGAATCGGCATTTCATGCATCAGATTATTTCTGTTTGTTTTATTCATGAGCAACTAGCCCGGTGTTGGTACTACGGCTATGGCCCCGTCCATGTTCTATTTGGAACCCCCGGGACTCCTCGCACATAACATATTCTGATATTTCCTCAGTCACCTTGCCGCATTGGCCGATCATCTCTCCGAATTGAACAGTGGTAATAATTCATATGATATTCATTGGACGTCGAAATGTCTAAGAAGTGAGTTTACCTTCAAGTTCATATTTATGCGTTGCCGCCCTCGTCGTCACCTGCCAGTGCAATATCCGACTCACTGCTGACTATTCCTCGAACGGCTACACTTCTTTTGCACTTCCATCTCCTCCACCACTAAGATGTACTAATAGTGACCTAACAATTTAATACCCAACAACTGAGTAATTGAGTACACTACAACTAAACATAGGCGCCAAAAGGGGGAAACTTCGCTGATATACTGCCAATCGTACGAATATATAGACGTATATATGTAGATTTTCCTTCAATTCTACCATTATTAACTAAATGTGATCTGAAAGTTGTGTGATGCAACTTCCACATCCATGTAGTAGATAGAAAACTGAGTAGATGCTCCTGACGGTATTATCACAACGTCATACACCAATTTCTTCAATCTATTACCATTCTCTCCCCAGTAATATTCGAGAGAATCGAATGTTATGTCGCTGCTGTGGCTCCAGCTGATTTCGCACAACACCTGCACATTTCTATTTTTCGTCTTTGGCGCGGAGTCGTCGTCGCATTGCAAAATCTCCACCACAAGATCGTCGTCGTCATCGAATTCTTCTTCTGTGAGGTAGGTGTGATAGAATTCGTGACGAATAGGTTCATCAGTCGAGACACTCTGCCCCTGACATGAGAGTTAGCGGCCAATATTTGGAAAATGATTAGCTGCCATCGAGCACACAAACCTTTCTTAAGTACCACTCCATTTGATTTTTAGCTCGCCAAACACCTTCATTATCATCCCAGAATCTGTCTCTTTTCCTATGGACACCGTCCGTGAAGATAACAGAAGCCGAGACACCAAGATTCCGTCTCGATATGGTCGAGACAACACTGACGTGAGATGGGACGCCTCCCGTCACACTGGGAACATCTAGAAAGCCTTTGAGAATGGCCCCTCTACAAATTGCAGTGCGGCTAAGAGAAGGCGAGAGTTGTTAGAGTAGTTGATTAGTAACGCGAGGGGAGGTTACACGACATACGGTCTCACCCCACCACCTTGTAATACCTGAATGTTCTTCGTGTCGTACCGAGCTTTGAGGTAGTTGTACAGGTAAGGGCTTGCTCCAAGGCCACCCACTAAAACAATGCCCTACTTGGGTGTCACAATAACGAATCTTCTATTGCTCAGCTTGTTATACGATTACTCACATTCACGAAGAGTCCCTTGTCATGAGATTTCTGAACCTGACCATCTACAAGGGCCATGATACTCGAGAATGAGCGCGTGAAAGCTGACTGGATATCCACGCTAGATCACCAAGCGCTTAGTTAGCGGAGTTGAAACAGTTTGATAGTCCCTAGGGCTATGGACTCAACGTACTTGGAGAAATGGATGCGGCCATCTTTGATATATGGCTTCCGGCTCAAGTCGTTTGTACTTGAGCCTCTGAGAGCCTCATTTGGTATACCAATGGGAAATTCCCGGTTGGTATCTATACCTGTATACGATGGCTTGTAGACGTTTTCCCATTCGTTTTTCATCATTAGCTTAATCCCGGCTTGACTGAGGTTGTTCCAATTTCGCCCTAGCCGCTGTTTGCAGAGACGTTCAAACTGTTCGTCAACAAAAACACCGCCACAGAGGCCGCCTGAAAAGAGTAAATTTATTGTTAGTGTCATCATGGTGGCGTTCAAGTGGTGTGTATTTTACCTGTGCCGACAACAGCCTCGTGTAGCTCGATTGGGTCCAACTCTCCAATCCTATAACTAATAAGATCCTTTGATATCCAGTCAGTCAGATGACATGTGAAACTCAATTGAGCATAGGAGCTTACCACAGTGCCACCGCCAGCGTCACATATGACATAGACATCATCAGTCTTGAGAATGTCGCCATGTTCCCAGAGTGTTACAAGACCCGCTGCCTCGGGCTCTGGAACAAATGACAAGGTCGTGGGACCTGCAGAGCGGTGATCAAGAATTCCTGCCTTAGCTGCTGCTTCTTTCATACTGCTACGGGCGTAATCTTTCCAGATCGCCGGCACAGTAACAACAACATGAAACGCTAGTGCAGCAATGACAACTTTACTACGGGACTTGTGAATAGTCTTAAGAGTATGATGCCATAAAAGCCTGAGATAATCGGCAATAACGTCCGTGGGAGTTTTGTCGATTTCTTGGAGCTTCCGTTTGGCACGAATATAAAAGTCAGACTGTCGCAAGTCTCCTTCCAAGTCTTCGTCCCGTAGCAGGAGTAGTTTGAACCACAGTACTGGATCTGCATCAGGAGGGATTTCGTATCCCCACAGTACTTTGTCATGCTCATAAAATAATTCTGTAGGTACTTTGCCTTCATCACGGCGACTTCCTGGCCAGGAAGTTATAAGGTTGATCTCATTATCATCCAAGTCGTCAACCGTGGCCCACGATACACCGGAGTACCTAGGTAAGTGTCAGCATGGAGGTAACCCAGAAAAGGCTTTGCTTACGTAGTTCCGAAGTCGATTCCAATGATTAGTCTGTCGTCAAGATTCGACTTTTTCTTCGCTTTGATCCTTTTCATCAGGCCTTTCATAGACCAGCGTTCGTTAGGTACATCGGAAGTCTTCCGCAACATCGTTCTCAATGCAGTGTATTGCCTATGGTTCCACCGAAAGTGTACGAAGTCAATGTGAGATATAAATTACGTAGCACTGACAGTTGGGTGGGAGATTTGAGGCTATTAGAAGGATAGATGGTATGAGAGAAGTTACTGGGAAAGCCAGATGGGCTCTTTACCGCAGGTGCTTTGTAACTTCATTCCTGAGCCTCCCTCCTTTTTTATTTCCAATTTTCTAAAAGCTTTGAGTAAATGTTGAAAGTATACTCTAGCATAGAAG